CAAAGCCTGGATGTGATTCTGTTATGTGAATGGTAACATTTACTGCATCAGCAACTGCTTGGACAATAAGTGCATCAGCCCATGTACCATGTACATATTATGCAAATATCTAAGCCAAGAACTTTGAGTGTTACTTTCAATATATCTTTCTGGATGATCTGTCATATATTGTACTCCAACAGCACGAATATTCATATGATAGTTGCAATTTCCATATAATTGATGTGATACTGATCTAAAAAAAACAATCACCTGCACCACCAACATCCATTGATTGCAAACCAAGTTCAGCTAATCTAGATTCCATTAAAATTATTGAGGGATTTGAGAAACAAGTTGCAATGCATTACCCTGTGTAGGTCCTGGGTTTTGTTCAATATCTCCTGACATCAGTATTAGTCTCTTCGAAGTAGAATCTCACATTGATCCTTCCATTTTACCCAATACAAACTGTTCAATATGACATGCATTTGTTTAGTTAGATTTCCAGAAAAAGAAACTTTGTTAATTAAGACATTTTCAAGACCATTAGGGCCAGGATTTGTTTCTACATCCCTACAAAGGCAGTAATATCAATATGTTACCCTGTGATTCAGACCTTTATACTCATCATTGAATAGATCATGTGAAGTACAAGATGAATTATTTGACAAATTATAATGACAGTTGTTATTTACTGTTTTATGAAGCTTTGTATAGATGTGTTTGATTTTTCTGGTTTTACAAAGGCATCTGTTATCTTCATCAACATGTAGCTTTTTATCACAATTGAATAAACTGAAGTGATGAATTTTTGATGACTTTGGTATGGTTTGAACAATTTTTTTCCTTAAGTTCTACTTTTATTGAAGGCACGTGTAAGCTTTTTCTGGGATATCCTGCTTGGTTCTCAATCTCTTGCAACTCGGTGACATTTGAAAACAAAGTTGTGGTTATAATACAAACTAACAATCTTTTGATAACGAGATCTGCAGTCTTTCAGTGGTATTAATGCTGTAGTTTTTTCAGTATTTCTCACATATAATTCTATAGCATCTGAAAAACACTCATCAAAACAAAGATTTGAATATGTTTCAAAGTATGTTGATCAAATTTGTAAATAACAATAAAAATGCACAATATTAAGCTTAAAACAAACAAGGTCAAGGAATAAATATTGAAGTATGCTTTATTCTTGGAAATATTTTGCTGAAATTTGGTACAAAGCTGTTGAGAACAGAAATACAACAAAGTGTAAATAATAAAAGCAAGGGCAATTATCATATTCACGTTTAGATGTCTCAAGTAACGGAGAGTAGTATTTTCTTTTCCAAGTTCAATAGAATTAAACATGATATTTTGTTCTGCAGTTCCATGGTTTTCATTACAATGATTATAAGAATAAGTTGAGTTTGATTCGTTTTTTGCTGCCGTTCCAGCTCCTTCACGAATACTAGAAGGGTTTTCGACCATATCTTACTTTGCTGGTCTGGTCGTTTTTCGTAGCCGTTGCTACTCCCTTACGACTAAAAGTATAAACTTTGTTGACCTGGTCGTTTTTCACAGCGGTTGCCGTTTCCTCACGACTAGAAGGGGTGGCAGCCATATTAACTAAGCTAGCTTGGTCGTTTTGACTTGAAGAATCCATTTTGACTTTTGAAGTGAAGTATTCCAAATGCGTTCCGTGGATCATGCTTAGCGGCAATGCATGTTGGGTACCGGAAATCAGCACCCAAGCGAGGCTGGTAAAGCAATTAGCCTCGTTCCTGACATTGCATGACGTCACCACCAGTTGTCGCCAAGAAGAAACATTCGGAGACCAAAAGTAGCGCGGGCTCTGGGTACGAGATTGAAATGCCTGGGTTCGAGTACTGCGGTGCATAACGAAGCGCATGCGTATATAATGTGCATTTAGGTTACCACATTTGTGAACGTGTTAAAATTTTCTGGTATAAAACCTACATTGAACTTCATATTTTAAGGAGTAGTACGGATAGGTACAGTTGGTGATTTTGCTACAAGTTCGAGCTGTAGTGACGTCATTTCCTATGCAGCGTTCGGAAAGCAATCGTGATCCCCGAGGCTTAACTTCTGACATGGAAAAAAGAAAAAAAATAATATACGCACTGCATTTTATACCTCGTGCCTGCAGGCGTAGCCTGGGCACGAGTAATGATCTTTACCTTGTAAACCTGTGATCCAGGTTCATTGAATGTATGAGCATTTTTGACCATTAATTGAAGATCTTTCTCCAAGTCCTCAACAGAACAATAATGATGGTTCTGTACAAAACAACTTAATGTTATAATTATATCACAAAATATGAAGGTATTAAGGAAATGGCATCTTGATTATAATAGTATTCATACACAAGATTAATGATGGTTCTGTACAAAACAACTTAATGTTATAATTATATCACAAAATAGGTATTAAGGTATTAAGGAAATGGCATCTTGATTATAATAGTATTCACACAAGATTTTGATAAAAACACTAAAAACATGAAAACTGTGAGAGATTTAGTACTATATATGAATTCCTTTGTTTTTCTATTGTCTAACTCACACTATATTGCAATATTTGGTACTATTTGGTTATTTTTTTTTCAAACTTTAGTGCTACACTATAATTCATAAAAAATAGCAATCATACCCTAACTCTTGTACATATTATCTTCAGGTCAATAGGTTCTTTAATGACTTCATAATATTCTGGATATAACTACAAGAGATAACAATTAAGTAAATAATAGTAAAATGGTGGGAACTA